CTGGAGGGGGTCCCAGATAGCAGGATGTTATTGGACCTTTGTTGGGCCAACAATGCTCCTTATGTTGGGCCACCGTATGCATTCAACATTGAGCCATCGGTAATTTGCTCATCGGCCCTTAATCAAACCAACTTGTTGGCTTATTGTTGGGCCAATGTAACAGTTAATATTGGGCCACTGTTGGGCCAATGTATTCTTTCAATATTGGGCAAACGTCATTTTTGTACAGTTGGGCCATTGTAAGCAATTGATGTTGGGCCAACGGTAATTTGCTCATCGGCCCTTAATCAGACCAACTTGTTGGCTTATTGTTGGACCAACGAACGGATATTATTATTTAGCCATTGTTGGGCCACTTATTCTTTCAATATTAGGCGAACATCATTTCTGGGCCAACGTTGGTTTGTATCTTATTGGCTCTCCATCAGGACAACTCATTTGCTCTTCACTGGTTGGCCATTTGTCCTCAAAATTGAATAACAAACTATATATAATAAGGTTATACTAGTTTTGTAGTACAGTTTAATGGTAAAAGCCCTTAAATACTATATATGCTAGATTAATAGTTTAATACATATTCACAATATCTCATAGAATTACCATCAACAAGTATTGCATTGTAAGTAGCTCTACATTAATTAAAAAAAAAAACTGAGGAAAAAGCAATCAAAATATAAAATTAAATTATAACATACTAGTATTTTATTGCTCAGTGCATGAAGAAAACATTAATAAAGAACAAAAAGTTGATGCTCACTTGAAGCGATACATGTAGGGTTACATGACTGTATACTCCCTCTCTGATGTAAATTTATGCACAAGTTCAGTAAATTGCAGGTATCAATAAGCACGTCTAAAAAATAAACAAAGCCCTCCTGTTCTTAAAATAATACTAAAATGAATCCCGCCATTTTGTTTACTTACACAAAAAAATGTTTCTGGCATCTGCATCGTGTTTGTTACCGACAAACAGACACAGAAAAGGGTAGAACTACTGGTATGTCACAGTATATAACAGAAACCAGAAGTCTCTGACGAGACTGTAGCTCTACTGGTTGTATTTATAAAGGAAGATAAAAGTAGCACTTGGACTTGAAACTTTACAACAGCAATAAAAAGAATAATGATCCTTGGTTTAGTATCTTTTGTGGCAAGATTTATTATTATATCAGACTAAAACTGTAGGAGGAGTAGCCTTTTAAAACAATTTTACAGAAATTTTGATTTAAGTAACCATGGCAACATCATTCAACAAAATCAAAAAAACAATAACACCAGTTATGTATCTCAGTGTCGTCTACTTGTATGCAAAGTTATACTGAAATCAGACAAAAAAGTGTAGGAGGAGTAGCGTTTTGAAAGTATTTCAAGAAAATTTCTAGTAACCATGGCTACACTGTTCATCCAAATCCGAAACTGGTACAGAGAATTATGTATCTTAGTGTAGTTTACTTGTGTGCTAAGTAATACTAAAATCAGACCAAAACTGTAGGGGTAGCATTTTGAAGGTATTTCAAGGAAATTTCTATTTTTAGTAACCATGGCAACAATGTTCATGGAAATCAGAAAATCAATATAAAGAATTATGTATCTTAGTATAGTCTACTTGTTTGCCAAGTAATACTGAAATCAGACCAAAACTGTAGGAGGAGTAGCATTTTGAATGTTTTCACAGAAATTTCTATTTTTAGTAACCATGGCAACACCGTTCATGGAAATCAAAAACCTATACACAGAATTATGTATCTCATTATAGTCTACTTGTGTGCCAAGTTATATTGAAATCAGATAAAAACTGTAGGAGGAGTAGCATTTTGAAAGTGTTTCACAGAAATTTCTATTTTTAGTAACCATGGCAACACCGTTCATTGAAATCAAAAACCGATACACAGAATTATGTATCTTAGCGTAGTCTACTTGTGAGCCAAGTTATATTGAAATCAGATCAAAACTGTAGGAGGAGTAGCATTCTGAATGTTTTTCACAGAAATTTCTATTTTTAGTAACCATGGCAACACCGTTCATCGAAATCAAAAACCGATACACAGAATTATGTATCTTAGTGTAGTTTACTTGTGTGCTAAGTAATATTGAAATCAGATCAAAACTATAGGAGGAGTAGCATTTTGAAAGTATTTCACAGAAATTTCTATTTTTAGTAACCATGGCAACACCGTTCGTTGAAATCAAAAACCGATACACAAAATTATGCATCTTAGTATAGTCTACTTGTGTGCCAAGTAATATTGAAATCAGACCAAAACTGTAGGAGGAGTAGCATTTTGAATGTTTTCACAGAAATTTCTATTTTTAGTAACCATGGCAACACCGTTCGTTGAAATCAAAAACCTATACACAGAATTATGTATCTTAGTGTAGTCTACTTGTGTGCCAAGCAATATTGAAATCAGACCAAAACTGTAGGAGGAGTAGCATTTTGAAAAATTGTTTACAGACGGACAGACAGACGGACGGACGACGGACACTTTACTATCGCATAAGCTCTTCTGGTCTCTGACCAGTAGAGCTAAAAAGTTAGGCACTGCCACTTTCCATCTGATCCCTCTGCTAAGTCTCCTCTTCTCTCTCCCGAGTCTCCTCCTCCCCCTTCTTTTCTTCTCTGTCCGTTTCTTCCTCCCCCATCCCTGTCCTAGGCATACCTTAGCCATTCTTTGATTGTGTTCTCAATGTCTTTTTAGAATCTCCAGTAGCACTAAAATTGTAGTATCTGGTACTTACAATTAAATTTACAAATATATCACTATATGTTTAAGCTGTCAATTAAGGAATAACCGTCTTTTTTGTTTCATGGTGTGATTAAGCGATTAGCTTGCATGATGAAGGCATTTATGCATAAAATTTCTACGCTTGATCATCATCATCACACCGATTTTGATTCAATGTTGCCCCATGTAAATCATTATTCAAAGTAAAATACATGTATAGAAAATTTGTCGGTACACTGAACAAATTTTAAATGAAAGAACCCAATTTATGTTTAAGTACTGAATAAATCTTGTTTTAACTTCAACATGTTCAACATTTTCAACATGTTTGATCATGTGCTCGACGTTAAGTGTATATAAGTAAAATGAGTGGTAGATTTCGGAAATTTATTCTACTAGACACAAATTTCAATCTAAATAAGGGGCAAATTATTTATTGTTTTAACTGTATCAAAACACATTTGTTATTTCATACTTTCATTTATTTTTCTTGTATAGAAACAATAAATTTAATCACTGATAATTTATTTTGTTTTGATAAATTATAAGAATTTTAACAAGCCTTGTAAATTTATTTTAGCTAACTTGTATTTTCAAGTAGGATTGGTGGTAGATTTATTTCTGATTGTAGAGACAATCGAATTTGTTAATATACAGATTTGTAATAATTAAATGTTTATACACATTTACCCAATGTTGGGCCAATATATCGGGCCAACATTGGGCCAATGAGCAAAATGACACTGGGCCAATGTCATTTGCCAACATCGGCCCAATGTTCTTGTTGACGTTGGGCCAACATTGGCCCAATGTCGCATTCATTGGACCAAATAGAAAATAGAGAAATAACACTCTACATTGGGCCAACGTTGGCCCAACATATCGGGCCAACATTTGGACGATGAGCAAACTTACATTGGGCCAATGTCATTTGCCAACATTGGCCCAATGTAACCGATGACATTGGCCCAACGTTAGCATGCTATCTGGGACAGTGTTGACCCAACAGCACCTGGCCTCTGCACTTCCCCGTGTCTGATTTACACAGATTTGTACACGATATCGTTTAAACTATAAACGTTAATTAAGCTGTGTCGAAGCAAACATATTATAAATACTTACAAAGTGGATGCAGATATGCAAGGTATCAGTCTCATTACGTTCGTGTCACATTAAAAATGGCGCGGATATTACAAATAGCCCGGATGTTGTCTACCCATGATGCTCAGCAGATTCATGGTATATTGGACCAACTTGGGGCCGATGCCAATCCCCCAACAAATGTTTTCTCTCATGATAATAGTTTTATGATATAACGCCAACAGTTAGCCCAACATTGGCCCCATTATATATACCAACTATCAATATTCCATGTTGGACCACCGTTGGCCCAATAAAGGTAACCCAACAGCGATAATACAACCATAATTTAAGATTGGGCCAACGATGTTCTGCTATCTGGGGTGGTTCTATCATTCAGAGGGTAGCAGTGTTTTTTAACAAATGTTTCTCAACTAATCAGATCCAACAAATTTACATGAACATTTAATATTATAGTTAACTTTATGGATTGTTATTACCATGATCCATGATCTTGGGCCAAAAATTGCAAAACCCAGCTGAGTAGCTTTTTGTATTCATATGTTTTTGCATTGGTAACCAAAAACTTTTTAATTTTATTGCCAAAATTTTACTACAGGATTTTGGAAGTTGTAAAATGGGGGTGGGAGTAATATCTTCTGTTGGTTTCAGACACATTTACTCTAGTTTCTTGTATGGAAAAAGATTCTTTTATGATATCCCTTTTAGGCTTGATATATTTTTATTAACATTTTTGAAAGACAACTGATGAAAAACAAAATTCTATTTTGATTAAGCATAGAACAATAAGCAGAGTATTATTTCCCATGTGGATGTCGCAATGAAACGGTAATACCTGTCAACACTATTACTACCTGCCTGTAATCATAATTGCTTTCAACTCTCCTAATTGCACCTTTAAAAAAAAGTGGGATGCGTATTTGTTAATTGAGAGCATAAATAATTCTCATTGAATTTCAAGATATTTTGCAATGCATTTGAGACCAGAAAATAGCAATTTGCTGATATTAATATTCTCCTGTAGGTAGGATTCCAAATGCTCTATAATTATTTCCTGGGTTTATTATAAAGACTGCAAAATTTATACACATTAGAATGATTTGTAGATGCAGAATCTATTTTTGTACAGGTTTAATAGGAACATTAATTCAAAAGGATATTTTTTTTTTGCAGCAACTGGGAATGAAACTCAGTGGACCATTGAGAATTTGGCAGTGAACATGGCACAACCCGATTCTCCTTTGTCGTGGGATTCTGGAGATGAGGGACTGAGTCTGGAAATGCCCTTGTCACCAGGGCTAGAGAACCTCACCCCTGAGGATGTCCCCGGAGTGGTAGGTGTATCCCAGACTAACCCTTACGGTTGCCACTTCTGTGATAAGGCGTTCATCAGACAGAGCTACTTAAAGATTCACGAACAGGTTTGAATTAAAGAAATTTGTTTTAGAAATGTTTTGTGAACATTTTTTCTAGCACAAAATGTACATGGTGTAATCTTTTAATTAGTAAAATCAAAGATAATTTTAAAAATCTGGTATCACTTTTTTTAGTTTCGTAAAATTTCACCAATGATCTTTTCAAAAATCTTTCCAAATAAACAAAGTAAAGAGACTTATACTTAATATAAACATGTAATTTATGTGTTATGTCTGTAGTTTTTATATACTTTATAATATAAATCTCATATTTCCGTTTTCTTTAAGATATGACATGACTTCATCAATCCATATTAAAACAGCTTGAATGTTTATTATATTACTCTGTGAACATATAGCAATATTTATTTATGCTTAATATTCTCAACCATGTCTAATCCAGATATTGTGTATTCAGAAATCTTGCCTAATACGATATAAACATTAAGTCCCATTCAGTGAATTCAGTTGTTTTAAATGTTGTCTTATTCGGAATGTTGTCTAATCCAGCCAGTTTTTAGGTCACCTGAGTGACTCAGGTGACCTATTGCTGTATATTCATTTCTCAACCTTCATATGTCTTGTTAAAGAATATTGTGGCCTCTAAGGTAAAAAAAAATATTTAAAACAAATTCAAATTTAGAACTCCAAGGCTTTTTTTTTTCTGGTATGGCAGTTTTTTTATACATGCACTATTCATAGCTTTATTTTACTTGGCTGCAGTATAATTTTTACCATTTTTAATATTAATTTTTTTTTTTATTATTATTTTTTTTTTTTTTAAATTTATATTTATAATTCTTTTGTTTTTTTTAGAATGTAATTCTGAAATTAAGACTTTAAAGAAAGAAGGGGGAAAATTAATTCAAAATAGAGAGAAAATGGACTCTTTATATATGAAAAAAAAATAACCTCAAACAAAATTTAAACTTTTTACAGTGCATTAAATTTTCATTAAACAAATAAAAGATAATATTACAAAATAGTATTATAAAAATTTTTGTAAATCATCAAAGTCTTTTTTAATGATTAAATGAATACAGAATGCACAGTGTTTGTTGAATACTTTCACAGACATGTCAGTGTTTTCAGTAATGCACACAGACTGAGTGTCATTAATGGCTATCACATGGTCCATGCAGAGGTCTAGCTTTTTCCCAGAGGTGTAAAATCAATTCACATACCAAACCCCAGAAGTAGATATCCAATTAGATGCTACACTATCAGTTGTCTTGGGAAAATGTTTTATTCCAACCAGTCTGTCCCCAATCCTATAGTTTCAGTTCCTGGAACATTATTGTTCATGGTGAATTTAGCACAGTTCTTAAGTCATTGTTTACCTTAAAAGGTGTCAATTTTATTGTGTTTTTCTTTTAAGTAAACCATCATTATTAAATATGAACATCTTTTTTGAGGAGCATTTCTTCTCCATTTGGGTCATTTACCAGCTTCATATTACAGTTAACAAGAAGAGACATAGCAAACTAACATAGCAAAACTGGCAAAGAGTTTTATATCTCAGATATCTATAAGGGTTTGAGATACGAAAATTAAGAATCAAATTCAGAATATGAGTCACTCACTTTTACATTTCCCTGGTATATATTCAACATGAAGTTGAGGTACTGCAGATCTACTGTATAACAATAACATTCAAGCTTCTAATTAAATGATATTTTAAAAAAATATGTTACAGTAAACATTAAATTCTTAATTAATCAATCTTTAAAATTTCAGAAAGAGGAGGAACTATATGTTGAAAAATAAATCAAAGTTGTTTTTATATTTCTGACATCTATGTTTTATCCATCTTAATCACAGATACACGGTGACCAGCTACCTTTCAAGTGCTCAGTGTGTAACAGAAGATTCCGGCACAAGCGCAGCAGAGACCGTCACGTAAAACTCCACACTGGAGAGAAAAAGTATAAATGTACCCAATGTCAGGCAGCTTTTGTTAGGTATATTAATTATTAATTTACTTACAAATTTATCATAAATGCATTGTATGCCATCCTGTGATCTTTTAAAGTTAAACACCTCTCCATGAATTAAAATTTCATTTATATTACAATGTACATATAATTGCTGCAATTGAAAGAGATAGTATTTTGAAAAGACCAGAGTATTTTTGAGCATATGATAACTCTCTTGTAAACAGCTTGTGTCTATACTGATTACCCTCTTCAATGAAACTTTCAGGAGTGACCATCTGAAAAGCCACATGAAAACTCATGAATCTACCAAAGTCAGTTTCCAGTGTGAAATCTGCCAGTTGACATTTCCCAGCCTTGACCTTATGATGTCACACATGGCCACCCATGAGCAGTCACCAGAAAGGAAAGGCATGGACCTGAAATGCATGTATTGCCCTCTTGTATTCACCACTCTGTCTGACTTCAGACATCATCTGATAGACCATGAGAAGGTTCCCAGTCAGAATTGCCTCTGTTCCCTCTGTGGCAGTGTATTTCCATCCCAAGAAGACTTAGATAATCATGTGGAAAAAGTGCATTTGGATGAATCAAGGAATAAATGTCCATTATGTTCAGAGGTCTTTTTGAATCTGTTTGACCTGTATGCTCACATGAGCTCTCATGGGAGTGAAATCAAAAGTCAAGGAGCAGGTCAAGTGAAATCATTGCCAGGATCTTCTCTGCAGGGAGAGGTTTTGGTGTGTCCCTATTGCTTTTGCAGTGACTTTGATACCCTTGAAGTCCTAGAGATTCACATGCAAAGTGTTCACTCTGTTAAACCTGCTGAGGTTTACACTTGTAACTATTGCAATGCTCCTTATAAAAACTTGTATAGTTTACATGAACACATGAGGGCTGTTCACCAAAACCAACCTTGTCTAGACATCAAGTATCCATGTTCCCTCTGCTCAAGGCAGTTTGGTAGCATAGAGACGCTCATACAACACAAGAGAGCTCTACACCCAAATGAGCACCGAAAATCAAAGGCTGAACTTTTGAAGCATGCTATGTTGGAACAGTGTAGACCTGAGCCAGCAGGAAAGCAAAAGAAAGTTCACATGCAAACAAGTCTTAAAATACCAACTCCAAGAAAGACAAACTTTACAAACTCAAACTACAGAGGAACCGAGCAGAGGAATGAGGAAATAACTTGTGAGCAGTGTAATGCTCGATTTCATGATTATCTCCATTATCAGAACCACATGAAGATGCACTTGGAGACAAAGGCTCCAGTGAAGCTTCAGGAGGCACTTTCCTCCCCAGGGTTGAACTCTGGAGTGTCTCCCGTGTCTGTGTCATCAGCTTTGTCACCAGGTGTCTCTGGTGTGCCATGTAAAAACTGCAATCTCCGATTTCCAAATGAAGAACAACTGGAGAAACACAGTGTGTCTCACTACCTTAGTGTGTCCACTGAATATGGTTGTACAACATGTGTGAAACTGTTCTCCAAACCTGATGAGCTTCAGAAACATTTAATGGACATACATGCTCATCATCTGTACAGGTGAACTATTTAAATGTAATTGATAGTTTTTTGCAAAATTAAATATTTAAGGTTTATTGATACTGTGATGAGAGAGATAACTCTAACTGATATAAATTACTTTTATTCTTTTATAAAACTGTCAATTTACCAGGCCGTTTCTGTCAAATTTCGCCCCTCAAGGTATACTGAAAGTGCCTTTTAATTATAAACTAGATTTCTTTTGGATAATAGGAAGCATTAAGGAAAGATTTTATATGAGTGAGTAGAGGGATCATGAACCGTAAGCTGCATAAAGTTGGAAAAAGATTAGAGTATCGTAAATTCTAGTACATGTACATTGATATGCTTCAATGTGTTTTTAAACTCAAATTCAGTGTTACTTTTTATTTTTAGGTGTGCATTGTGTAAGGAGATTTTTGATTCTAAGGTCAATATTCAAGTCCATTTTGCTATAAAACACAGCAATGAGTGCAAACTGTACAGATGTACAAAGTGTGATGCAGTATTCAGAACAGAGATGGAATGGAGTGTCCATCTACGAGTCAACCACCTTCAGATTGCTAAACCTTACAGGTATGTACATGTATGGTCAGTTGTAAAAAAAAATATGAGAGAAAGAACTAAAGCATTAATTACAATGTCAAGTAAACTGTGTTCAAAGAAAAGATCAATGGCTGTTACCCTGACCATTGAATTATCACAGATGCGATTGATTGTAATTGGTGATGTTTTTCCTAAAGAGTACATATAATGTTACTCAACCATTTTGCTGAGAATGAATTGTTTTATAAGTTGTGCTTTAAAGCTGAGTCCCATTGACAGGTGCTTGTTTTGTAAGGACAGTTTTTCATCAGAGATGGAGCTTCAGTGTCACCTGACCACTCACAGTAGACCATTCAAATGTTCAATGTGTTCCGAGTCATTCCATGTAGAGTACCTGTTAGATAAGCATGTACAAAGTGTCCACTCAACAGAGGAGGGGGATAGAACACAGACACCCTCCCAGCATGGCTCAGAAAGGGCTACTCCCAAATCGCAGCATTCACCAGCTGTCAAGATCAAGGTTTGTATATATGCAGATTTAGTCATTAAAAAAGTAAGATATGTTGAATTGATAAGTGGTTAGAATTTTCTCATTTTTAGCTCTACTGGTCAAAGACCAGAAGACCTTATGCAATAGTAAGGTGTCTGTCGTCCGTCTGTCTAGCTGTCTGTAAACAATTTTTCAAACTGCTACTCCTCCTACAGTTTTGGTCTGATTTCGATATAATTTGGCACACAAGTTGACTATACTAAGATACATCATTCTTTTTATCGGTTTTTGATTTTGATGAATGTTGGTGCCATGGTTACTAAAAATAGAAATTCCTGTGAAATATTTGCTTAACACTACTCCTCCTACAGTTTTGTCTGATTTCAGTATAGTAGACAACACTAAGATACGTTATTCTGGGTGTTGGTTTTTTATTTTGATGAAAGGTGTTGCCATGATTACTAAAAATAGAAATTTCTGTGAAATACATGTACTTTCAAAACACTACTTCTGCTAAAGGTTTGGTCTGATTTCAATATGATTTGGCACACAAGGAAGCTACACTAAGGTTCATAATTCTTTATATCTGTTTTTGATTTTGATGTACAGAGTTGCCATGGTTGCCAAAAATAGACATTTCTGTGAAATACATTAAAACGCTACTTTTCCTACAGTTTTGGTCTGATTTCAGTATATCTTGGCACACAAGTTGACTACACAAAGATACATGATTCCTTTTATCGGTTTTTGATCTTGATGAACATTGTTGCCATACATGGTTACTAAAACTAAAAATTCTTGGGAAATACTTTCAAAAAGCTACTCCTACTGCAGTGTTGGTCTGATTTCAGTGTATCTAGTAAGATACATAATTCTATGTATTGGTTTTTGATTTCAATGAATGATGTTGCCATGGTTACTAAAACAAAAATTTCTGTGAAATACTTGCAAAACGCTACTCCTCCTACAGGTTTGGTCTGATTTCAGTATAACTTGGCAAACAAGTAGACTACACTAAGATACATAATTTTTTGTATTGGTTTTTGATTATTAATTGCTGTTGTAAAGTTTCAAGTCTGTGTGCAACTTTTCTCTTGCTTCGTTATAAGTTTAAACCAGTAGAGATACGTCTCGTCCGAGACTTCTGGTTTAAGTGTGTTTTAAGCTTGCTTCAAAAAATCCACCTTTATAGAGTAGACCAAATCTTGTAGGTAAAAAAACCTACTTTAAGAACCTGTGGTTAGAAACTACAATAAAAAAAGAATTAAAAGAATTATGATGTGTACAAAAATTTATAATTTTATTGCCACTTATAATAATTAACACAGATAATCAGATTTTTAAGTGGAATTCTACATTTATTTTATATATGGCCATCTTTGGAACCATTTATGTATAGGCATTTACAAAACTAAAAATCAAAAATTTCATAAGAACTATAAACAAATCAAGACTTCAATATGTCAATTTTAAAAATATTATATTTCGTGAAATAAGTATACATACGTGTATCTTGGTTATCATTCATATCATACTTATGGCATGTCTTAATTCATAGTTTGATTTTATTTAATTCCTAGACTGAAAAGGATATAATGGATCTGAACTATGGTGGCAGTAAGGAGCCCCTTTCTGAGAGTTTCTTTTCTTCTCGTGCTAGTCCAGGGATTTGGAAGTCGTCAGATTTAACCTTCACATGTAATATCTGCGACATGAAGTTCTCTCATCACCCTGCTCTCCTTAGTCACAAAGCTCATGACCATGGTCTCTCAGCTATTCTTAAGGCAGTCAGTGGCGAACAAGGTATTAAACCATAGGGGAGTCTCAAAATTGTTTATTCTCATTTACTAATAATAATAATAATGTACAACTGATAAAACTTTAAAATTATGTTTGAAATGAAAATAAAAAATTTGATGATTTGTAGTACAATTTAAAACTTTAAAATTTAAAGCTTTAAGAAAATATAGCTGCATAAAAAAGTGTACAAGTCATGTACTGTGAATGTTGTTTACTTTCATACAGCAAAAATATCTTATTTAATCTTTTTGTGAAATGCAAACTTGTGCTTCAAGAAAAGAAAGTTATATGGATGAAGATTTATTAAAAACAATTTATCTTTTTCTTCATAGACACCAAACCCCAGCCTCTGCAGGAAAATTGCCAGAATCTTGAAAAAGATAAGAGTCCTGGCCCCCTTCTCAATAAGGACAGAATGTCATTGTCACCTGCTGAAATGTCCTCTCCAATATCTAAGTCCCTACCTGTCTTTATCTCACCTGAGAGAATCTCCATATCCTGCATGTATTGCAGTCAGACTTTTAAAAACAGACATGAAATGGACAAACACATGAAGATACACCTCAACAATGGGGATGAAAAATGCAATATTTGTGACAGGGTGTTCCCAACACCAAGCATCCTTGCAGAGCATAAGCTCACTCACTGTAAGATAAAGGAGGGCAATGTTTGTGTCCTCTGCAAGGTGGCTTTGAAGTCCGAAGAACAGTTCTATATTCATACTCAAGAACATGGCTTTCAAAGCACTTATATACAGTGTCTTATCTGTCGCCAAACACTTGTGTCAATGGTGGAACTGCAGATGCATGGCAGACATCATTTTCAGTCTACCAACAGCTCCTTCACTTGTTGCGTCTGTCTTGAAGCATTCAAATCCAAGGAGACCATGGTCTCTAAAGTAAACAGTAGTGGTCGTAACTATTTTGTCTGTAAGATGTGCTATCATGGCAGTAAGTCATTATACCACTGTGACACTTGTGGAGATAGCTTTGTGAACCCTCTTCAGCTAGAGGCACATGTTGTCACTCACCATGGCAACAAACAGGAGTACACCTGTCACAGATGTCAAGCTACATTCCAATCAAGTCTGCTATTGAAGGCTCACAACTTATCCCAGCATGCCTCTGAATCCACAAGTGAGTTTTCTTGCACTCATTGTCCAGCCTCTTTTTCAACTCATTCTCAATTGGAATCTCATCATCAAACACACAGAAAATCTTACACTTGCATCAAATGTCAGGAATCATTTGACTCAGAACAAGAAATTCAGCTTCATGTGGCAACCCATGTCATGAAGGAGGGCAATGTTCATGAGTGTAAGCTCTGTTTTCTTAGCTTCACGTCACCTGCTAAGTTGCAATGTCATCTTATACAGCACACATACCAGAACTCTGAGTACAGATGTAGTGTATGCTGTCATGTTTTTACCACTGCTGCAGATATTCAGCAGCATGCTGTAGAGCATGGACTAGGTGCCAGGAGATATGCCTGTCCAAATTGCTGCCAAAAGTTCTTTTTCAGTGCAGAGTTGGAGAATCACCAGATCAGTCACCATGGTGGCCAGGATGACAATAACACAGCAAACAAACAGCCCTTAAAGAATGGAAAGGAGATGAAAATTAAAAAAGAAAATCTGTACAATGTTCCTTTGTTACATGATGCTTCACATAAAAAGCTAAATGGTAAATCTACAGAACTTCATTGCCCAGCCTGCTCACAAATATTCTTCAAATTATCAGAGTTGACAAATCATATCCAAGAGCACTGTGAAGAAGCAGGGAATGGGGAGTCAGACACCAGTCCTAATGGAGATTTCAAGAGTTGTCCTGCCTGTGAGAGTCAGTTCACAAACCTGAGAGATCTTCAAGATCATTTAAAAACTGATCACAGTGGTAAGTTTTTAAAGCAATGCTGATATAAGGGAGATAACTTCTTCTGTATGATAATAGTAAACACTGGCTGTTTAAAGAATTACTATATTCAAGCCAATATTGGCCTTTATTTCTCTGTACATCTGGGGCCAATGGCTTCAAAACTAATCAGCTAATCAATTTTAACTGACAACTGTCTTTAGATGCCAAAAATAAATAAGAGATTTATAGTTAAGTCAACCATTCTTTTTAACTACAGTACATTTATATGCCAATGTGCAGATGTTCTGTTAAGACACAGTACACTGTCAATAGCTAAAAAGGACATATTATATGTAATTATTTGTCTTTGCATTTTTTCAGATACCAAACTAATCTGCAGTATTTGTAAGAAGACTTTTACCCACTCCAAGACCCTCAAACTTCACATGCGTTTACACAATGCCAGTAAGGGTTACGAGTGCACTGTCTGTCACAAAAGGTTCACAAGTAAGTCAAAAAGAATCATGTATTCTTGTAATATTTCTGCATGTAATTGAAAATAAAGTCATAATATCATGAACAGATTTTTTAAACGATAGCTTGAAAAGGAAAATTCTTAGCATTACTTTAGAAAAGAAATTAAGAAAAAAAATACTGTGGAATCATTAGATTTCGTGGTGGCTCAATATTCGTGGGTCCCCTTAATGCATGAATATACATCCTCCACAGATTAATACACAAGGGCTTCAAAGTCATATTTCCTTTTGTAGATATGAGTAAATACAAGAAATTACATCTCCATGAACCTGTAAAATTAAACAATCCATGAAAATTGGCCCCCACAAATTTGGATGAATCCACAGTAGTACAGTAAAGTTTGTCTAATCTAGATGTTATGTATTCCTGAATCTTGCCTACTTTGATGAAAACTTTAACTCCTTTTCAGTAAATTAAACTGTTTTTAAAAATGTTATATAATCAGGTAAATTTCTGTGGAATCAGTGTGTGTAGATTAGACAAGCTTTACTGTAAATATTTCTAAGTTTTCATATACTTTATTTTTCTTAATTTAGGAAAAGAAAACCGCAAGGCTCACATGAAAACTCACAAAGGACTGAAATCTACTTTATTCCAGGTACATGAAGAAGGAGCTTTTTCTTTAAACAAAATACATGTACATGTATGTAATTTTGAAGAATGTTCTTAAAACTTGATAATATCCACCTTCACCTTTTCCTTACAATTGTATTTTCTTGATTCACAGTGTTTAGCAGAGACAAATGAAAAACCTGTGGAAATGTTGAATACTGGAAATGAAATGACAGAGCTGGCATCAGAGACTGAATTATTGGCCATGAATGGTGTTGAATAGTTAGTTAGTGTTTTTATAATGATAAAAGTGCTATATTTTGATATTGTTGTAATTCATAATTATGTATAAACCAATCCAATGTATAAAATTTATGTGTAATATTCATATTATCAGATGTATTCATTTTTATCTACAATTTCCAAGAACTGACAATTAAAGCTATTCAGCATATTTTTATTTTACATTATGTGAATTATATACTTTTGAGATACACATATATGAAGACATAGACATTTATATTATTATACTATGAAAATCCTTTTTGTCATAGAGATGTTAATTTCACTTTTTCAATCTATTTCACTTTTGAAAAGTTTTCAGTAAAAAATCAGAATTAATAAAAAGTAGAAATATAATGTAATGAATATAATATTTTTAATCAAAGGGGGAAAAGGAGTTAATTAAAATCAGCCAGTGGATTGAATGACAGAAAATATGAGCCCGAAGGAAATGAAGTGTTTTCGTTGTTGAAAGCCTTTCTTATTTGAAGATAAATGTTATAAAAATGTAAAGTAAGGAACACTAATCCCATGTCAACAGACTAGAAACATACATGTATTACGCTTCTTTTCTGAAGCACTGGACCAATTCAGTCAAATTCACGGTATCCCCTGGTCATGGGTTTTAGCCTTGGACTGGGGCTCATTGGATCATATACATGTAATTTAATGAAAATGCATATCTCTATAAATAAAATTTATTAAGACTTACTGGTGCTGTGGTTAGGTAAAGATGGTCTTATGGGATGTGAAAAATACAGTTGTACATATAACAGTGCATTGTATCACCCTGTACATGTTGTTGCCGGCGGCAATATCATATGTACCTACCCTCGCTGCATATATATATATATATATATTGACGTCCATTGGTTCATATTCACACCAGCAGTAATACATTGTATGTGCCGAAGTAAGCCTTTTTTCCTGGGCGACAAAATTACCTTAGACATCGACGAATATTGCCGTCGGAGATATTTTGAATTGCAAACATTGGTATATATTATCTCCATTTATACTGTATTGAAGAATAATTTATGTGGATATGGAGAAAGGGAATAGAGAGAGAGAATTTTGGTCTTTTTTGAAATTATTTCATCACCCTTTTCACAGTGTTATTGTATATGAGATATAGAATTTCATTGCAGCAGCTTCATAGGAGTTTAAGTTTAGAAAATCAGTGATATGTCTTTTAGTGAACATGCTACCTCATGAAAACTGTGGATGTGATTTTTGATATCACCGTTATTATCATCCATATTACTGGTAGCCCTAACTTTTGTGGGCGTCATTACATGCATTGAGGGTAGCTTGCGCGGAACTGGAGGGGGTGAGGTGGGTCCGGAACCCCCCCCCCCCCCCCCCGAATTTGCAGAGTTACTTAAAGTATATACTGAAGAAAATAAAAAATGACTTTGGACCCCCCCCCTCCTCCTAGAAAACGTGGACCCCACCATCACCACCACGAAATAGGTGTTTTTCACCTTTTGGAAATGAATTTGATTTTTTATTTTTTACTTTTTTCAATTTTTTTTTTTTTTTTTTGCTTGTCAAGAAATTTTTGGGTTGGAAATATTTTTGACTGGGATGGACCCCCTCCCCCCCGGGAAAAAATTCCTGGATCCGCGCCTGGGGTAGTCACATATTGTCGCCGGCGACAATATGTGTACATGTAGGTATAGTTTTGCAGCCGACGACAAAATGTGCTGATAAACGACATATGTGCAGTGAGAGTTGGTGCATGTTTTCGCCGACGACATTGAATATGTACAAAATGTACCGTCCCATACATTAAAAATATCTCCAGTCCTGTATAGACGTCACCTACGTCTGGGAACAAATCATAATATGTAAATCTATTCTTATAAATTAATAAATTTTGCAAAATTACATTAATTACATGTATAAGATGATGTCCGTAAACTATCTCTTACGAAAGCCTATTGGGATCAAACTACGGTAAAAAATAAATTTTAAAGGCGTTATAACTTCTTTTCAAAAGGCGTTATAACAGGCGTTATAACGCCTTTTCAAAAGGCGTTATAACGCGAAAAAAGGCGTAATTACGCCTTTCCAAAAGGCGTTATAACGCCTTTGTAAAAGGCGTTAATACGCCTTTCCAAATAGCGTTATTATGCCTTTCCAAAAGGTGTTATTACGCCTTTCAAAAAGGCGTTATTACGCTTCTTTTTTTTTCAATACATGACTTACTTAGCCCACCCTGGGGGCTGATTATAATTAGATTTCCAGGAAAAAAAGATTTTTAAATGTGTAAAATATTTTCAGTGTTAAACCAACTTAGTCCTTCTCTGATGCCAGACACCTCTACCAAAGTGCATGGATTTCAGAAATTTGGTTGAAGGCTAATTGCTCATTATACCTATGCAAATAGTTTGCTTGTTTTTTTCCAAGAGGAGAGAAAAATATTTCAAATTTGACATGAATCTTTAATACATGGCTAGCAAAGCCCAAAGCTGGCTCTGCCTATATTCTGGATTTTCAAAAGTAGAGTGTTGACTTCTCTTAATACGCATGCAATCAGCTGTCAGCGAGATGTGCAGGGATATAGAAAATACTATAATTTATAATATAATTTATAATATTAAAACTATAATCTAAATATTGCATAAATAAAGATGGCTTTGGTTCAATCTTTCATAATATTCATTATTTTAAAATAACGCCTTTCCATTTTTAGATATAACTCCTTTTCAAACAGGCCGGTAGTACGAATGCGAGTGGGGGGGGGGGGGGGGGGCTCCCCCCCACTTTTTGGGAGAATAGTCTTGCTATAGTTTAAATATAAAAAGTCATTTATTGATTGCTTGGTCCCTTAACATTTTGTTGCAGGATGGTTAAACTCTGGCAAGTCAGTGCATTTAAAAAGGTTTTACCGAAGTTATAAAAAGATTCCCCTCCATGCAGTTTAGGCAGTTTATTTTTTTCGGGGGTGGGGTGGGGGGATTGGGTTTTTTTTGTTTGCTTGTCAATTTTATGGAAGGCTGCCCCCCCCCCCCTAACTTCAAAAGCACGGGCCTGTCAAAGACATAATAATGACTCTTCAAAAGGCATAATAAAGCCTTTTGGAAAGGCGTATTAATGCCTTTTAGAAAGGCGTAATAACGCCTTTTGAAAAGGCGTAATAACGCCTTTTGAAAAGGCGTAATGACGCCTTTTGGAAAGGCAAAATAACGCCTTTTGGAAAGGCGTAATAACGCCTTTTAGAAAGGCGTAATAACGCCTTTTTAAAAGGCGTAATTACGCCTTTTGGAAAAGCGTAATGACGCCTTTTGGAAAGGCGTAATTACGCCTTTTTTCGCGTTATAACGCCTTTTGGAAAGGCGCAATTACGCCTTTATTTGCGTTATTACGCGTTATAACGCCTTTTCAAACGTGTTATAATAGGGCGTTATAACGCCTTTTAATTTTTTTTTTACCGTAGTTTGATCCTAATAGGCTTTCGTAATCTCTAGATTTCACCTGAATAGTTATCACTGGCGGATTTAGAGGGGGGGGGGGCAGGGGGCCCGGACCCCCTTTTGTGTCCACAATATACTTAAGATTTAATAAATCAATTTTTTTTGGTGTTGTCGTGGGCCCCTACCCCGAACCCATACTGGTCCCCCCCCCCTTTCAAGATTCCTGGATTCGCCACTGATCTTCGCAAATTTAATGAAAAGATTACTTGCGTTTTCGATAAACATCCGTTAAGGACATTGGCAAGGTTCCTGGCTATTGTATTTTTTGCGGATCTAAGTCACTGGCAATTTTTGATAATGAAATATGGAGATAACAAACAGTATTCAAGCTCAAAAGTCCATTCAAATACATGTAATACAAAGGAGCAGAGCAAACACGGACCTCTAAAACATCAGAGGTGGGCTCAAGTGCCATGCAGGAGTGAGCATCCCCTGCCGACCGGTCACACCCGCCATGCGCTCCTTGTCATGATCGGGATAAATCCGTAGACAATTCAGTGTTTAAATAATGGCCCAAAAGTTAGTCAGTATTTTACTTAAAGCTGAACACAATTCGTAATAGGCAGAGATCTATGTTTGTACCCATTTCTCTCCATTTTCCGTTAGTTGTACGGCCCCTATATATACCGATTCAGTGTAATCAGTTTTCACCGGTGTGGACGGACGTTTTCTACATAGCTATTGCAAAACTTTCGGTAGCGACAAGAGTAACTGTGGTCCTTCCACGGCAGAAGAGAAAGTTACCAATTGAAAGAAACTTCCATCAGTTGCACAGATCAGTGCAGTACAAATAAACACAAATAGACGTAAACTGCAATAAAATGTAAAGAAAGGTACCCATGATAAGAAAGCAGTCCGATGTAACGAATGCGAAGGGTTTACCCCAGTGCTGATATCGGAGATAGCTAAAATGGCGTATGTCTATTTACGAGTCGTGTTCAGCTTTAATGATAGATTGTATTTTCTGAAAAGGTACCGTCACGGTAGCTCAGTCGGTAGAGCGCTCGCTCCGTGATCGGAAGGTCGTGTGTTCGAATCATGGCCGCGACTGTCCTAAGTAGATAAAAAATAGGTAGCAACTGTTCCTTCGCCAAGCGCTCGGCACTTTGAAGTGAAAGATGCGGGTCCTTCGGATGAGACCTTAAAAACCGAAGCCTTGTGTCACGGCAGGAGTTGGCACGATAAAGATCCCTCACTGCTCAATGGCCTGAGTGCCGAGTAAAGGTCTAAATTTGAAGCCCTTCACTGATATATGGTGACGTCTCTATATGAGTTAAAAAATCTCGAACGGGACGTTAAACAACATACAATCAATCTGACAAGGTCAATGTATCAACCACAAAACTTCCGAAATGGTAACTTTAAACGAAACCGTTGATATTCTTGTTTTATTAACTTGTTTGTCAATAGCTTGCCTCGTTTTAGAAATTGTTCGTACGAAGAGCATGCTCTTGCGTATCGAATCAACTGAGAAACCTAAACCCCATATGCGGGTGATAAGGGTATATTGCTGCATAAGTAAAGGAAGTTGATGATTGAAAAATTGAAGTCATCACATGTTTCATAAAGCTTGGTTGTTGGGTCTTTTTTAACGAGTTTTCTAGTAAAATATCCAGATATGAAAGAAATATGTCAGACTCAGTGGTGTCTTTTATTTTGAGTTCAAAGGGATATA